ACGACCGTACTACTACTACTACTCGTCTCTCTCTCTCTCTCTCTCTCTCTCTCTCTCTCTCTCTCTCTCTCTCTCTCTCTCTCTCTCTCTCTCTCTCCTTCGTTTTCTTCCGCTTTTCCCCCGTGCTTATACCGCTGCGCGATAAACTTTCAACGAACGATTCTTACGCTCGAACTGATCGTGAGTATCGACGCGGAAAACGGAGAAGGTCGAAGGAACTGTTTCAAGCCGGATCTACTCCGTCTCACGTGTCGATCCTCCTTCCTGTCCTCTCCTTGCCCAGACGAAATCGCGTTATTACATGGGTGAAGCCTTCCGCCGACTGAACCGGACGTCGCCGCGGAAAGTTCCCGGGTTCCGAGAACTAAATCCGTCGTGTATCCGCAGGAATTATCAGATTCCCGAATGAACGCGTCCAATTATTCCGGATAATTACTAGTTTGTCCGAGCGTATACCTGCGGCGGCGTATCGTCACTCGGACGAACGAAATTCTGTCCTGCGGTCTGTCAGAATTAATTATCTTCGCTGATCATAATTGCTCGCAAAGATCATAATTGCCATTCACGGCCATTTCTGCCACGTTCATTAATGAGCACAACGCGCGAGAGGGTAAAAGAGAGTAGCACAATGGCAACTCAAGAGAAACCCTGTTTCCCTGTATTTTCTCGAATCTTTTGTTTTATAAATCGCTGTTAAAAGTGATGGTTTAACTCGAAGTTTATTATTTTATTCCGAACAAATAATAAATAATTACTATATTCACACAGAGATTTTGATAAACAGTTCGTTTATCTTGCTAATTCCGGTACGTGTCAATTTTCGTATTTCATTTCCAGTTTTGTCTGCGATTGTCACGCTACTTCATAAGAGTGGCGTATAAAACGGATGTTATATACCGCGAATGTTGATTAACGCGCATAAGATTAAATTTAATTATTAACATTACATTGTAATGTATTATATTAATATATATATTGTATTTGGAGCGCTTCCTCCCCGTGTCACTATTTGCGACTTGCTTTTAGCAATTGTGTATGTGTGTTACGTGCTTTGTCTCATATATTTTCAATCCAATAATCATTTACACGGCTTGCCGCCATTCGTTGCAAAAAATTCCGTACGTTATCTGATGGCACCGCGCCAGGTCACACACTGCCACCGACTGTTTCTCTCTATTCTCTCTATTATGCTTTCTTCTCTGTCTCTCTCTCTCCCTCTCTCTCTCTCCATCTCTCCCATGGGTTTAAATTCGAGCTAATCGATAAGGAGAAAATTCGCGTTATTGTCGCAAAAATTTGCGACCGGACAGTACTTATCGATTTATTTGAATAAATCCAGAATGAGCTGTTCTCTCCTCGCTCTTTATCATTTCCGGCTCATCGGCTTGTCTCTCGTGAACCGAAACACTAGTTAAATCAATTCGGAGGGATTAAATGGCGCTAGACTGACATTTTATGCTCTGAGAGCTGCGCGAATTTCGACGGCTGCTTTATCTATACCGCCCTGCTTTCATCTATACTCTCTCCCTTTTCCTCCTCTCTGTTGCTCTTTGTCCTTTCTATGGACCCTGTTTTCCGAACGCTTTCGCATTGACGAGCGTAAGCGCGATGCGGTCGACGCACGACAAAAGGGTGGATTGTACAACCCCTGTAATGTCGTGGCCGACACGCCAAACGCTTTTCCCCTGTCCGACGCACGTCGCATCGCGGTGTGGGTGCGTGGGTGTTGCATCGGTCCACTGACTAAACACCACGCGGGATAAACTTTTCCTCCTACCGGAGGCGGAGATACCGGATCTTCGGACTAACGTTG